GGGGTTTCGTGAAAATTTAAGAGCAAAAATGTGCTGTCCACATATGTGGCCACTAAGCCCTAGGACAGGGGTCACCAATCTCTCCTGGAGGTCCAGTGCCCTGTAGGGTTTAGCTCCAACTTGCCTCAACACACCTGCCTGGGTGTTTCAAGTATACCTTGTAAGACGTTGATTAGCTTGTTCAGGTGTGTTTGATTAGGATTGGAGCTAAAATCTGCAGGACACCAGCCCTCCAGGAAAAAGTTTGGCAATCCCTGCCCTAGGGTTTAAGGTCACAACATTACGCAACACGCTGCAGCCAGTGATGACCGGTTCATTTTTCTGTCTCATACATAAAAAGTGCCTTTGTGTAACAGAGACACATTTGCACTTCAGAGCTGCACAGCTGGCATATTTTCAATGTGTCTGCAGTGTCAAAACATGCCACTACGCTAATGGGAAGCTGATGAGATAAGAGGGATTTCATGCTCAAGGACAGAAGATAAAAGACGAGTGTGAGATGTTCCCAATAGAATTGAAACTCAACATCCTAAAGAAATTAAATAGAGAAGAGACCTTAAAAGGGTAAGGTTTATCCTACAGTTTGCACCCAGTTGTTCAACTTAAGATCATTAAATAAAAATTGCATAGTCAATATCCATGATTCAGTTTTAGGCCCACTTAAATTTATATTTTATCAACTACATTTTGGCCACATTTTCAGGAAATACCTCAGTTCTTTCAAGTTCCTTCTATCCTTCTTCTTTAACCAAATGCCTAGAATTAAAATCTCTTAGTCTTGGGACACTATTTTAATGATCTACTGTAGGACTAGAGTGATCAGACTTGGTCCTGGAGGGCCAGTGTCCTGCAAAGCTTAATTCCAACCCCAATCCGACACACCTGAGCTAGCTAATCAAGCTCTTACTAGATTTTCTAGAAACATCCATGCAGGTGTGTTGAGGCAAGTTGAAGCTAAAATCTGCAGGACACTGGCCCTCCAGGAAAGAGTTTGGACACCCCTGATGTAGGCGCAAAGTCTAAGGGTCATGGTGAAAAAGCATTAAGGGCATGTCCGAATCCACTTTTGCTATTTTAAGGATGGGAAAATACACTCTGCGCCATGACACATGGCCTAACAGGGTTGTGCTTATTCTCTTTATGAGTTATGGGTGACTTTTGAGCACAATGTGCATAAAACCAATCATTTGTTTCTTAAAATAGCAATGTGCCAACAAAGCACCTTAACACACCTATAGACCAACACGCCCATAAGTCCAAAGTGCAAAGTGATACAAAAGGAATTGTTATTTTAACAACGTAGTGCAACACGTGAAAATTACCGTTGCGCTGGTCTGAAAATATTAATAAATCGAGTCATTATGCCAGCTTTATGTTAGGGCCCTTGTGTTTTAAATAGTGACAAAACTGAAGCCTCAACTAATTGGTAGTAAATCTAAAAGGCAAAATCTCATGATCTCGCTGTAGACATTGACACAATCAAATTTGTCTTTCTCAGTAGGTCAGGACTTAGGGTGTATTTTTGAATGACACATTTTCTTTTGAATCACATATCAATGATATTACACATAATATAATATTCATCATCTTTATCTTTCCATCACAACTTAAAATAATGCAATTCTAAGGCCCAATCGCTTTAGCCCCTCCCCTTACCGCTACCCCTTGTTTTGCACAGTAACGTAAATGGGTAGGGGTGTTCCAGTTCTCTTTAAGAGGAAGGGGTTGATATTCCTTAAAATGAAGATTTTTCAGGACCACACTTGAAACCAAGGGGTACGAAAATTTTCTAAAATACACCATCTATAAAGGCAGCATGGCTGCACATGGAAGTAGATGCACAAACTAGTATTTTTGTCATTATTAAAAAAAAAAAAAACAAGCACATGATTTAATACATTCATAACCGCCTTTATGTTTTATCATCATGCCTTTTTAAACGTTAAAATTAATCTAAAAATCCATAATAACACCTGTATAGTAGTCCCACAACATTCTGTCAATCGACGACACTCGAATACCCTGTCAGAAAGGTCTAGTGGCTGGGAATGAGCTTTTTACAGTGTTTGCTATAATGTTAATGTTGTTTTTGGTGTACAGTATTTACATAGATGAATATGGCCACATTATAAATGCAGAGTACAGTTACGATCTTATTGAACATTATATCATTATGATAACATGATATATGCCTTCAGTGATTTCCTGAAGAAAAATTGCAAAAATTAAAGCAAATGGAATAAATACAGCAGTCGTGATCATCGATCTCATATGAAGCAAGAGATTGCAACGGCATATGATGTTGTGTGCACATGTTCTAGTGCGATCCTATTTCTTAGGGGTACATTTTGAAGCCCTTCTCCTTCACACTCTTTCATGGGCCAAGGGGAAGAGGTAAAGATACAAAAATAGAATTGGGGTTGAGCCTTAAATCATGCACTGAAAGCCTCTCACATTGACTACTGTAATAATCTTCTCACTGGCCTTTCTGCAAAACATTTCCATAAACTTCAACTGTTTCAAAACTCAGCAGCTTGTGTTCTTATTGGGACTTCATCAATTCAACACATTAGACCATGGTTTGCACTGTCTTCCATTTAGGAATAGTATTGATTTTAAAACTCTGCTTCTCACCTTTAAGGCACTTCACAGCCTTGCTCCATCATATCTTATTGACCTTCTTCACATTTTTACTCCGTCTCGCACTTTCAGATCTACTCACACAATTTCACTGCAGCCACCTACGTGTTTAACCACAATGAGAGCTAGATCTTTTAGCTCTGTAGCACCTGGTTTATGAAACTCTCTTCCCCCTAACATAAGGTACAGCGATAGCCTCCACACTTCTCATCTTCACAATCTCATCTTAAGACCCACATTTTTACCCAAGCCAACTTATAACAATATTTTTATGGTTGTATTGTTTATTTTTTTTGTATTTATGATGTATATTTGCACTGATTTCAGGTGTTATTAATCGTTACAGTTTTTTATTTAAATGTATTTTGTAAATGTTGGGTGTCTACAAAGACATAATAAAAAATAAAAATAAAAATAAATACATAAATAAAAATTGTTAAAGTTTTTATTTAAAAGTATTTTGTAAATGTTGGATGTCTAAATACATAAATAAAATAAATAATTAATTAAATAAATAAATAAATAAATATTATTATTATTATTATACATTTGCTCATTGTGTACATGCCAACATGCCAGTATAGAACAGTGTAAAACATGTAAATAAAATACATAATAAAACCTTCTTTTTACAACAGTGACAAATATTGTAGGATCCTTTTATACCATATTATGCTATATAAAGGTTTAAATAATAAATATTCACCATGTAATGCCAACTATTCACTGGAAAGCAGATTTGCATGTTTCCATAATTCAATTACCAACCACCAGAGGGAGCTCTTACTAGAATACGCACTGATTGATTCTGCTATTTGGTGTGACCTGTTTTCTATGTCAAAGTAAACAAAAATATAGCAGTTGGCATTGGCATATAGTTTTAAAAAATTTGTAAGAAATAAAGAAACTCATTACACTACAATCACACTGAATACTAAAGTCACAGTTAGGAGACTTTAAAAAGATTCTGAGAAATGAATTTTCACATTTGTGAGATATGAAACTGTCTATCTTCATGGAGTCTTGTTTTTTGACCTTTATTTTTCATTTGCTGCATAATACTGGATATGATATTGGATTTATGACTCTTCTTGACCTCGCAAGACCACATTTGAGGACTGACCTTTGGATTTGGTAACTTAACCTTCTAGTTTTAATTCAATTTAGAATTTAAGCTTGGTGAGTTTTACTTTCTGTAAAGAAGTGTCTTTTGACTGCCCCTCTACCAAACGGTTGACCATGTTTTTATTGTTTTAAATAATGACTGTTAAAGTCAGGTCAATGACTATTAAAGTTAAATAACGACTGTTAAAGAAAGACTGTTTTAAATAATGGCTTACACACAGCACTGTAGCTTTACAAAAAAATTAAATCAATCAATAAATAAATCAAACAAACATTGCACTACTTCACTTGATTTGGGTTTTATTGTAAAAAACAAACAAACAAACAAAAAAACAGGAAAGCGTGTTAAATGAAGATCTGAAATATTTTATGACATACTTCAAAAAAAAGGTGATTTAGTATTAAAAATGTTTTATTTTTAATGAATTTTAAATAAATGGGTCTTACACTTCATATTTTCAGATTTTTTCATATTATATGTATTAACCCCGGTACTTTTACAATAAACATAAACACATATCTACCATTTGGTAGAGTAGAGACTGATAATTTTTAATTTAGGGGATGTATTGAAAAAAAAGTGTGTTAACTAGCGGCATTAGGAGGCAAGAAATGCAATCCAAACATTTTTTTTTCTTGGTGGGGCAGTTAAAGGGTTATTCTAACCAAGGCTCAATTTATTTCATAAATAAATCTGTATTAATATATTTATTTTAACATTTTCCATTCCTGAATATTAAAACTGGTTTTAAAATCACATTATGCTAATATGCTCAAAAATTAAATAAAATAATTAATAATAATAATAATTAATATATATATATATATATATATATATATATATATATATATATATATATATATATATATATATATATATACATATATATATTTTTTTTTCTTCCCAATATTAAATTGGATGTGCTGCTTAAAATCACCATGAAATGGAAGAGGTTGTTTTATTTATTTTTTCCTACTTATGTTTTCTTGAAAAAGAAAATAATGTGGATGAGGATTTGATTTTGTCCACTGGGAATTGATTAGATACACTGCTTCTTTGCTAGAGCTGCCATTTCATGAGCAACAGGATGTAAAGATAGTAAACATTATATAAAAAAAAAAAGTTGCTACAAGGAGAAAAAAGTTACCTTTAATGAAGTCAGATGGATTAAAAAAATTATTGTAATTTAATGATAATGTGATCATATTTTATTGGTTGTGACTACCATACTTACTGTGGCCTGGAGGCTTCGGCTTGATCCGTCTGGAGCTTTTCACCTCCCTCCACCTCCATGGTGCAGTACACAATTCGGTTAGGAGCAACGGATTTCAGCCCCTGAACCTCTATGATCACAATCTAAACAAAAAGACCATATAATAAGCATTTCATTATTTTTAGTGCTAGGCAAAAATTACGCACGGTTAATAATATGCAAATTAAAGTTTGTTTGTACACTTTAAGTGTGTGTACTGTGTATCTGAAGAGTTTAGATGAATTTTTTTTTTTTTTGAAAAAGAGCAATTTCTATCAGGCTTTTATTATTATGTGCAGCAGTTTCTTGTATAGGTAAAAAAAAGTAAATTCTTCAGACAATTCTTTTGTTTTAACAAGGTAGATTTTCTTTTGCATCAAAACCAGCTAAATCCACCTGTGTTTATTTTTTTTTTTAAATTGGGCAAAAACCTTTAAATCCATCTATTAGGACAAGACATTGTAATAAGTAAAAAAATACTCATTTTTTATCTATTGTCATTTCTAATATTTGCAATTGAGATTTAAATGTAAGTTGAACAATGTAAACAATGCAAACATAAAACTTGTTAGATTTCAATAATGTAGTGTGTAATCAACTATGTGTGATAACAGTGCAAAACATTCTGACAAACACTTTTTAAAGTGTGTAAACATTAAAATAAAGTTAATAAAAAACATATTCCCCATGCCAACATGCTATGTGCAAAATGCAAATACTAATATAAAATAAAAATATTATCAATTCAAATAGTTTGGTGGACTGAAAAAACAAGTAGAACAGAGCGAAACATTGTGAAATATCAATATCTGTGCATGGCGACGCAGTGGCGCTGTAGGTAGTGTTGTCGCCTCACAGCAAGAAGGTCGCTGGTTCAAGCCTCGGCTGGGTCAGTTTGCGTTTCTGTGTTATGTTTGCATGTTCTCCCTGCGTTCATGTGGGTTTCCTCTGGTTGCTCCGGTTTCCCCCACAGTCCAAAGACATGCGGTACAGGCAAATTGGGTAGGCTAAATTGTCCATGGTGTGTGAGTGTGAATGACTGTGTGTGGATGTTTCCCAGAAATAAAAGACAAAAGTCTTGTCGTTGATCCCAGTTGTAAGAGTAACAAAAAACAACTTGACTTCTAGTAGATCATTTAGAAATGTGGCAGAAGGTAGATTTTTCGGATGAATCATCTGTTGAACTGCATCCCAATCATCATTAATACTGCAGAAGACCTATTGGAACCCACATGGACCCAAGATTCTCATGGAAATCAGTCAAGTTTGGTGAAGAAAAAAATCAAGGTTTGGGGTTACATTCAGTACAGGGCGTGCAAGAGATCTGCAGAGTGGATGGCAACATCAACAGTTTGAGGTATCAAGACATTTATGCTGCCCATTACATAACAAACAAGAGGAGAGGGCAAATTCTTCAGCAGGATAGAACTCTTCATACTTCAGCCTCCAAATCAAAGTTCCTAAAAGCAAAGAAGGTCAAGATGTTCCAGGATTGACCAGCCCAGTCACCAGCCATGAACATTATTCATCATATCTAGGGCAAGATGAAAGAACATAATCTAGATAATAATCTAGATAATCTGTGATACCAAATGATCAACTAGAAGTCAAGTTATTATTTGTTGTTTCTAAAGCTTCGATAGGCGACAAGACTTTGTCACTGTGGTAGATTTAACGGACCATTTGGTAGATTAAGCATTTTGATTGGTTATAATACCACAGATTTTTGACCAATTTTTAACGGAAGGTTAAACTTAGCAAATGTCTAATTCCATGTTAATAAAATGTTTGAACTAGGTCTGCAATTGGGATACATGTACAAAATGACTGACCAATGTGGAGGTGTCTGTAAGGTGGAATGGTTATTAATCTCTACCTCTAAGGAAAACGACAGCACTACGTCAGACTTGGAGAGGGGCAAGTCGTTCTCATCACCGATGTCCAGGAAGCTGTTCATGGGTGTGAGTTTGGGCTTGACTTTGGGCTTGAAGTCTTTGGCCACAGGCTGGCTCTCCAGATTAGCCATTAGCAGGTTAACGGATGACCTGAGCTCCTCCACATACATCATCTCCATGTCTTTGGAAATAAACTTTGGAAACTTCCTCTCCTATTGGATGCAGAAAAAAAAAAACAGAAAGAACACTGCAATGATCACTTGTACCTGTACAGATCATTTGACCTGATGTAACCAATATGACAATTGACCACAAAAAAATATATATATATATTTATTACACACACACACACACACACACACGCACACACACACACATATATACATAAAACCTACATAATTTCAACTAAGTTTTGCAAATTTTTGCCTTCTTTTGATTTTTCTTTTTTTTATTTGCATTTAATATTTTTCTATAACATTAATAATTTGGCTGTACTAGATTTTGGACCATTAACAAAAATCATTTTGTTAGATAAACTACAGATTTGGCTTTAGTACAAACTAATCGAATGTATATGCACAATTATAATATTGTGAAGCTTCCTTTTAAAAATATGAATTTGTCAAAACACAAATACTGTAAGAAAAAGCTGCATCTCTTCAAGAAAATTAAATGTATCATGCAGTCCCAATTTGGACAACAATCTGTTTACATTTTCATAGTAAAGACAGAAACAGGTGAACATTTCTTACTCTGGCTATTTTCTCAGCCAGCTGCAGTCGCCCGTCCAGCTCTCTGCGGATTTGCGCTGCCTGCTCGTCCACATTGTCCAGCTGCACGGGAAACACAAAACAAAGCTTATCTATTCGACATGGTTAGTAAACCCATTGACTGCAGGTAGATCTGAGCAGATCAAAGCTGACCATAGTGAAAAGACAGAAAAGACAGGCTTAATATCTGCCCCGATTATTCATGTAATCTCTTTTGAGCTTCATGAAGCAGCAATGGCACTTGGACGGGCCATACTGAGAAGATATGAGATCATAAAAAAAATGTTTAATGTCTTTATCTGTTCGCTGAGCGGCTCTGGCATGCCCTCAAATGAAGCGTTTTTGGAGTGTGAAACACACACACACAGAAAGTGACACACAAACACACCCACACAGCACCGCTGGCATGTTGTCAAGACAGGGTTTCCTCTCTATGAGTGGGAAATCTCTGTGTATCACACACACACACACACACATAGATACACACACATACACCACCCCCTCTTTAGCACTGTTTCCACTTGATAAGCTCCTCTCCCTGCGGCAGCAGTAGGGCGGACTCCTCTCTCCTATTTCATGCTGCGCTATTACTGTGCCATATACTAGTTCACGCAGAAAGTTTTTGTTTTTTTAATTAAGTGGCGCTTACTGAAACTTATCTTTAGTGATGTAAATAAATCCCAAATCCAGAGTATTCAATAACCATTCCTAAAAATTTGTGCTGCAATTCTACAGATGCTACATGTTATCCTGGGACAACCGATTAATGTAGAATGTTAGCCGTAAACCAATAAACCGTTATATTTCAAACAATAAAAGTGAAAATAAGGCACTGTTAACACTAGTACACTTTAGTTTTAAACCGGCATTTTAGGGTGAAAACGATCCACATCCACACTAGCGATTCATCAAGTATTTCTGAAAAGATCTCCATTCACACTACACCACTGAAAACGCACATCACGTGACCACACACACACTCTTGCAGCGTATGTGCACGTCTGAGCTCCCCTCAGCAGGAGCTTTGAGCACAAAACTCCAGGTGAGAGCAGCGCATTTTGGGCAGTTCGTCAAGGATATCTCACTATAGTTGGTGAACGTGATATTTAATTTATATAGTCTTTATCTAACAAATCTTTGGTCTTTTGAATCCATCACTTGTTCTTAGGTAACGTGTTTTGGCTGAGTGCAAAGGTAAGTTAATACAGTGCATCTGGAAAGTATTCATAGCGCTTAACTTTGTCCACATGTTTTTATGTTACAGCCTTTTTCCAAAATGGATTAAACTCATTAATTTCCTCAAAATTCTACACACAATACCCCATAATGACAATGTGAAAAAATATTTTTTTGAAATTGTTGCAAATTTATTAAAAAATAAAAAACCTGAAAAATCACATGTACATAAGTATTCACAGCCTTTGCTCAATACTTTGTTGATGCACCTTTGGCAGCATTTACAGCCTCAAGTCTTTTTGAATATGATGCCACAAGCTTGGCACACCTGTCTTTGGGAATTTTTGCCCATTCCTCTTTGTAGTACCTCTCTAGCTCTATCAGGTTGGATAAGAAGCGATGGTGTACAGCCATTATCAGATCCCTCCAGAGATAATCAATAAGCATTCAGGTCTGCGCTCTGGCTGGGCCACTCAAGGACATTCACCGAGTTGTTGTGAAGCCACTCCATGAATATTTTGGCGGTGTGCTTTGGGTCATTGTCCTGCTGGAAGATAAACTATTGCCCCAGTCAGAGGTCAAGAGCACTCTGAAGCAGGTTTTCATTTAGGATGTCCCTGTACATTGCTGCATTCATCTTTCCCTCTATCCTGACTGTCTTCCAGTTCCTGTTGCTAGTGGCTGTTCCTACCTTGAGGTTGCTTCGGTAACATTTATGGTGATATTCTCAGGGAGTGTATGAGTTTATTATTCCTTATTATTATTCCTTACATTTATATAGCGCTTTTCTGGACACTGAAAGTAAACACTGTTCTGAGAAAACACTCAATATAAATAGAATCATGGTGACGTGGTGGCGCAATGGGTAGTATGTTCTAGGGGTGTCAAAATTAATTGTTTCTTTGGTGCACCGCGATGCAGTTGCGGACAATTTGGTATTGATTCAGTAATAATCATAACCGGTTATTATGTACTGACGTCATTTATGTCCTAAGTGCTCTGTCGCGAGGGAGGTGACACACATTCAGTTACAGACGGCAATAACTCAAAAACCTCTTACCCTAAAAAGATCTAAAGTGTGTTTCCTACAAAAAGACAAAGCTGGTTATGTTTCACAGCTGTCTTTCTTTTTTTTCGCTCCACACTACGAGCACTGCTCCGTTTAAGCCCTCGCAATATGTGTTTAGCCGGGAGAGCTCGCGCTGAGAGGAGCTCTCAGCAAGGGACCGTCGGAAAAGTGCTTCTTTTTTTCGTTTTTCTGCTCCGCTCTTCACAAGCTCTCCCTGTTGCGAGGGCTTAAGTGTGTGTGTGCGTTTGTTTCTTAGGTGCTGTCTATGTTTGTGTTTGAATGAGAGACAGTGTGGTGCTGTGTGTCTGTGTGTTTATACAGATAGCTTGTTATAGCCTCCCCTCTAAAATATAACACTGTATATGGAAAGCATCGTCAATGCACCGTGATGCACCGAAATATCGAATTGAACCGAATTAAAGGCATGATAATCGTAACCGAACCGTGAGACCAGTATAGGTTCACACCTCTAGTATGTTCACATCACAGCAAGAAGGTCACTGCTTTGAGCCTCGGCTGGGTCAGTTGGCGTTTCTGTGTGGAGTTTGCATGTTCTCCCCATGTTCATGTGGGTTTCCTCTGGGTGCTCCAGATTACCCACAAGTCCAAAGACATGCGGTACAGGTGAATACACAATTCGGTATCGATTCAGTAATAACCATAACCGGTTATTATGTTGTGACGTCATTTATCTCCTATGCGCTCTGTCGCGAGGGAGTTGAGCGCCGTTATTTACAACACTCAGCCAACTCAGGGCCGGCCCGTGGCATAGGCACCATAGGCAAATGCTTAGGGCGCTGTATATCCAGTGGGGCGCCAGAAATGAGCGCGCTTCAGTTGGTTTTGTTTTCGATTTTCCTGACAAACATTCAGTTATAGATGGCAATAACTCAAAAAACGCTTACCCTAAAAAGATCTAAAGTGTGTTTCCTACAGAAAGACAAAGCTGGTTATGTTTCACAGCTGTCTTTCTTTTTTTCGCTCGACATTACGAGCACTGCTCCGTTTAAGCCCTCGCAGTCTGCGTTTACTTTAGCCGGCAGAGCTCGCGCTGAGAGGAGCTCTCTGTAAGGGACCGTCGGAAAAGTGCTTATTTTTTTTCGTTTTTTTTTTTATTTTTCTGCTCCGCTCCCTGTTGCAAGGGCTTAAGTGTGTTTGTTTGTGTGTGTGTGTGTGTGTGTGTATGTGTGTGTGTGTGTGCGTTTGTTTGTTTGTTTGATGCTGTCTATGTTTGTGAATGTGTTTGAATGAGAGACAGTGTGTTGCTGTGTGTCTGTGTGTTTATACAGACAGCATGTTATAGCCTCCCCCCTAAAATATAACACTATATATGGAAAGCATTGTCAATGCACCGTGATGCACCGAGATATCGAATTGAACCGATGGCATGATAATCGTAACCGAACCGAACCGTGAGACCAGTATAGGTTCACACCTCTAATATATATATATATATATATATATATATATATATATATATATATATATATATATATATATATATATATATATATATATATATAAATCTCATACTAGGTTCTAGTGCCTCCGGCATGGGAAATGTATTAAGGGTGTGCTGGGTTACACTAATACGAATAAATGAAACAAAAAAAATTCTATTAAGCAACAAAGCATCAATTGGGGTCACAAGTTTGACTTAAATTTTCTTAGAAGCCAAGACTTATGGGGAATATTATCCTCAAACGAAATAACTAACACAAAAAAAAAAAAAACACAAACAGAAAAGATATGGGCATCAGCTCTGCCAAAAGTTTGAAAATATCTGCTTAATTTCAATATTGTGCATCACTACTACATCAAACAAGATTTAAATAAAATAAGAATGTTAATCCTTTTTATTTCTAAAGCATTGTTTATTATGAAATTGATTAATTTTGTCTGAAAAACTTCTAATTTAAATAACCACATTACCGATCAAAAGTTTGGAGTCAGTACTATTTTGAAATGTTTTAAAATTAACTTGCTCACTATTTCTGCATTTATACAGTACACATTGTAAAATTGTCAAACGTTATTGCTCTAGAAAATAACTGTTTAAAAATAGTTTATAATTTAATTTAATAATTTATTCCAGTGATTTTAAAGCTTTATTACTCAAGTCTTCAGAGTCACATGATCCTTCAGAAATCACTCTAATATTGATTATTATTATAATTATTATTATTAATGGTAATAGTCATAAAAGCAATAAATAGAGTAATAATTTCATTTGAAACTACACACAATAAAAAATAAGTTATTTACAATTTTTACAAATATTGCACAATTTAACACTTTTTTTTTTTTACATTTCATAAATGAGCTTTGATGAACAGAATAATTTTGTTTAAAAAAGACATGAAAAAAACAACAACCCCAAACTTTTGACTGGTAGTGTATATAGTAAAATATAGAATTACTGGGAAATAAAATTACTCATACCATTAAATAGAAATTTGATCATACTGCCCATCCATCCCTAGTGTGCAAAAACATGATTCTCATGAGACACCACAGAGAACTGACATGCTACATGGTAATCATATTCTTTGTTGCAGTTCTCTACATTCAAAATTAATCATATAAAAATCATATGAAACACAATTCAGAAAACAAAATAGAAATTGTTTAGGGGAAACTTAATTGTCTTAATTGTTCAATATACTTAAATTAGTTAAATTAAATGAATGTTAACATAACAGCATGAATAAATTAAGTGGAACCCTGCAGTTTTACTTACTTATTGCTATCTGCATTTTGATCCCAGTAAGTTTGAGTAAATGTAAACAATGTGATTAATAATTAGTAGCCTGACAAA